ATGCAACGGGCTGGCCCAGCCATTAGTATTTTTTTTTTTTTAATAGAAATTTTTGCTATAGGGTGCGTGTGCTCACCAGAGAGACAGAGAGAGACAGAAAGCGAGAAATCACCCCCCAGCGGGGTGGCCACGCCACAATCCCTTCTCCTTCATTCTCCTCTGGGGATCTTGGGCATGCATGCACATGCGCCCAGCGTGAGTTTAAGCCACTGGGTCTAGGACTCGAACCATGTTCGACTACATGGGGGTCCAGTGACACAGTCATTATGCTAACTGCTGGTCCTGGCCGTTAGTTTTTTGAACTGCTTTATTGAGATAGAATTTATATTCCACATAATTCACCAAATGAAATTGTATAATTCTTTGGTTTGTAGTATATTTGTAGAATTATACGATACAAACATTTTTTAGAGTTTTATCTAAAAATTCCTTGGATTTTTTTTTCTGCATACCTAACATGTGGGATAGAAAGAGCAATGCTTTGAGGCTTTCAACCTGGTCACTCACTGTAAGAGGAGGCTCCTCACTGAGGAGGCTGATTACTAAGCAAGGAATCCCATCACCAATGTAAAAGCGTAACATAAAATGTATAGAGTAGGGTTTTAGAGATATATCATGTGCACTGTGTAGTTTACTGGACATAATTCAAAGCAGGATGAGTTCTGATCAACTGCAGAGTGTGGACTCTCACGATTCAGATTCAGTTGGTCTGGCTTTAGCCCCTTCTTTTCCTTGTTGTGCCCTTTCACACCTACCCATTGTAATTACCTGGGCAAACTTATTTGTCAGGAGTGCCTTATGAGGCAGACTAGACTAGGTTGCAAACTGGCAGGAAGCACTAAGTGAATCTGTTTAAGATTAAATATATTGGGACCAGCAGTTGGTGTAATGGCTACGTCGCTGGATTCCCATTTAGTTGACTATGGTTCGAGTCCCAGACCCGGTTGCTTAAACTCATGCCAGGCGCATGTGCATGCATGCCTACGATCCAGAGAGGAGAATGAGAGAGGAGTATAGAGAAAGATAGCAAGGGAACAAATAGAGAGGCATGACATTAGTAGGACACAGATATGGCTTATTACCTGTTGATGATGACGTGTATAGTATTGTCAACTGGATTGGTCTGAGAAGTATTTCATGTTGGATAAAGTCTTTTTACAAGCAAAATGAGAAATATTGATTGACTGGTTAAAAACATAGTTGGAATAATAGTAATAATGATCAGGAAAAACAATGAAAAGATATTGAATGACGAAGTGGGGATTTTAATGTCTCTGTATTGACTGACATGCATGGCATTCCCTCTGGAAAAAGAAATGTAATAAACTGTAAAGTTATATGCGATTCAATGTAATATAAATAAGATTATGATGATGATAAATAAATAAATAATAAATAATTATAAGGATCCAGAAAGGAGAATGGAGGAGAAGGGATTGTGGTGTGGCCATCCCCTGGGGCGGGGGGGAGTGATTTCGCATTTTCTGTCTCTCTCTGTCCTTCTGGTGAGCGCATGTGCACTAAGCAAAAACCTCTCCAAAAAAGAAAAATTAAAAGTATTAATGTGAAGCAAGGACAATGCAAGGATCTCTCAGTGACCGATGTCTGGGCCCCTGCTGTGAGTTCAGCACGACCTAGGAGAACCAGGGCAGCCTGTTAGGACGGGAGGCTCTCTTAGCTCAAGCCATAATAAACATGACAGCGTATCATGGTGGCCACATCCTTGGCACCATCGGGTCATCAGAGGTTAAAACTGAGGGTAAGTGACATAGAGCAGCTAGGGCCAGCCTGGATAGGATCTGGTTGGAATGAATAAGGGAAGAAAGTGTTCAAGGCTGCAGAAGGACACAAAACCACAGGCCAAGAACAGATGCAGAACACAACATGGAGAGAGACCACCTTGGCGGGGAGAGCACACACACTCAGGGAGCAGTAGGAGAAAGTCGGAAGGCTTAGTGATAGCTGGGTTATGGAGAATCCTGAGAGTTACTTTGAAAAATGGGGTTGGCCAGTGGCATAGCAATAAAATGCAGTACTCCCTGAGGTCGACCCTCTTGCCCTGTCCCTCTCTGGTCAAATTAAAGTAAGTAAAGTTAAATGAAATAATTCTTTAAAAAATTTTTTTTTAAAAGTGAAGACATTGATTAGATATTGAAAACTTTCAAGCAATGAGTTTATACCTTCCACTTAAGTAATCAAGTAACAATCTCATTAAGTGCCTTAGGGTTTCCAAGAGTCCTTTTTATGGCCGCGTATTGTCGTAGAAGCACAGACCTGACAGCCTTCATGGGACTTAATATTCAGGCGCTTTATATTAGGGTCCCTCTTTGTGCTAATCTCACCTGCATTTGCGAAGTATATAAATGATATTGGTTCTCTTCTATGTTCTATGGATCCACGTCTCCTTATTTTAGAACCAGCATATTCTCTTTCCACAGTATTTCACTAACGGCAAACACCATAGAACCAGGCAGCTACGGAAATGGTTGCCAAGCATATACAACCTAGTAGACATCCATTACTGGCCCCTTTCCATTACCTCTCCCAGCAAACCCATGACCTCCTCACCCTAAATTGTGTTTGCTCAGAAAGAGGAGTCTCCCTGTTCTCAATCCCAGGTCTCGGTCACTCTGAAATACTACCCACATCCCCTCTCTACCCACCTTCACTGTAGAAGGGACTTTCACGTTGCCCTCCCAGCACAGTGTTTTCGGCACAGCCTGCTGATGCTCTGCACCTAAGCTGGTCCCAATTCTTTCTAAAGTTGATTTCTTTCTTTCACCAGTGAGAGGAATTTAAAGAGAGACAGTGCCCCCTACAAGATCTCGATGCTGCGATCCACCCCCAGTCTTGGGCAGTCCTGGATCAGGGGCACACAAGCGCCTGGCATATTCAGGGAGATCTCTGGGAGTGAGATTTTATTTTATTTAACTTTACTTATTTTAATTTGATTAGAGAGGGACAGGGCAAGAGCGAGAGAGAGTGGGAGAGAGAAACTGAAAGCAAGCCACCAGGTCTGGAACTTAAACCGTGTTAGGCCAAATGGGAGTCCAACACCCTTAACCACCACACCACCTGTTGGCCCCCAATGTCTTTACTTTTAAGTTAGTATAAAACAATACAAAACTAGATGACTTGTTAAGAAAATAAATGTCTTTTATGTTCTTTTCTTTTCTTTTTCTTTTTCTTTTCTTTTCTTTCTTTTTTTTTTTTTTTAAGCTAAAGGGCATGTGTACTTGTGGGAGAGAGTCCAACACCCTTAACCACCACACCACCTGTTGGCCCCCAATGTCTTTACTTTTAAGTTAGTATAAAACAATACAAAACTAGATGACTTGTTAAGAAAATAAATGTCTTTTATGTTCTTTTCTTTTCTTTTTCTTTTTCTTTTCTTTTCTTTCTTTTTTTTTTTTTTTAAGCTAAAGGGCATGTGTACTTGCGGGAGAGAGACAGACAGACAGAGAGATGACCACAGTGCAATCACTTGTTCTACACTCTCCTCTCAGGATTCTGGACACTCATGCACATGCACCCAGCGTTTCTTTCAAGCTGCTGGGTACAGGACTCGAACCATGCAATCAGCCATGTGGGATCTAGCTGCCCTTACCTCCATACTACCTGTTAGCCGGCCTCCAACCATGTTTGGTAAGACTTTTTTTTTTTTTTTAGAGGCTTTTGCTATAGGGCACCTGCACTTGCCAGACAGACAGAGAGAGACAGAGAGACAGAAAGTGAGAAATCACCCCCCAGGGAAGATGGCCACGCCACAATCCCTTCTCCTCCGTTCTCCTCTTGGGATCTTGGGCACATACGTACACGTGCCCGGTGCGAGTTTTAAGCCACCAGGTCCGGGATGCGAACCGTGGTCGACTACGTGGGAGTCCAGCAACATAGCCATTACACTAATTGCTGGTCCCTTTGGTAAGACTTTTTACCACTTCAGTTTTAAACTACTCAGTGAGTGAGACTACACACACTGGTTTTATTATTTTACTTTCTTTCTTTTTCTTTTCTTTTCCTCTCTTTCTTCTTCTTTTTTTTTTGGGGGGGGGCTGTTTGGGGCATGCTCACTCACCAGAGACAGAAAGAGGGAGAAAGTAAGAAAGCACCCCAGCAGGGATGGTCATGCTGCAGTCCCTTCTCTATTCTCCTTTTGGGATTTTGGGCATGCACCTGGTGTGTTTCCCAAGCCACTGGGTTTAGACTCAAACAGCATAATCAGCCATGTGGGATCTAGCACCTTAACCACCATACTACCTGGCCCTATATCCTTTTCTTTACAAAGAAATTTATTTCTAGAGAGATAGAGAAAAAGGCACACTCACAGGGTCTTCACACTGTGATCCACTCCCAGCCTTAGATAGTCCAGGTCACAGGCAGGCTTTGGGTGTATAC